ATTGCGTAAGTTTATCTTCTGCCGAAACTGTGCAATATGACGTTCAATTTTCTTGCTTTAGATATGGTATCGGAATGCTTTTCCTTGACGAAGCACGCAAATGGTGGAACAGGATGCGCCCGTCATTGTTCCTTGTGCGAATCGCATGGTAATTATCATGATGTCAACTATCGTTATTAGCGATATTACTATATAGCGTTTTTTCCCGCTTTCTGCCGTAGTTCACATAGAATGTATGTGACAGTTACTTTAGATTTCTGTAGTAGAGATCTATATAGCAGTAGAAATTATTTGTTCGTTCTAGAGAACGCTCACTAGCACTGTTACAATACCGTTTGCAGTACTAATGTCATGCGATGAAGGACACCCCTATTCAGGACACGTATATCATTGGGTAATACAATAATAATGGCATCGAACCTTATCATCGTATTCTTCAAAAATTGGAGCTAGTTTTGACGGGGGACGACATCTAATTCATGAGTTGAGTGCTCGTGACTATGTCCTTTGAGACCTTTTTACGTTTTTGTACTAGAAGTATCATGTCAGATCCCTTATATTACCCAATGTGAACAGCGTTTTGGACCCCCACTCAACAATAGGACCGACGAGACCCGGAGTAGGTTGTGTGAATGGTCCGAGTCCAAAACGTAAAAGAACTCGAATGAGATTTCTGCTCCATTCCCGGTTCAAGCGACGGGGATCAAGTCCATCAAGGGCACATCACCATAGTTATATCCCAATATCATGTTGATGAAGTCAGCGCTTGTGTTGTTCATGCCGAACAGCCCGTCGTCTAAACGTCCCGAAATACTTCACCGATTTTTCCGCCGCATCGATTAAATACAAGGCAAGATCTGTTCACTGACACCAGCAATGCGCCATATAGTTTATTGTTGGCGTTTTGGGCCAAGACAATAGGATCCAACCACGCAGTGTCCAGGTATAAAATGCCTGGATAGACTGTCTCACAGTCTTCACCTAATTTTTGTTGCACTGGTTTGCACTCATAGTTATCGTCAACAAACATCCTCATCCTCATGGACAACTTCGCCGAATTGATCTTCAGACCTGCGCCAGTTCAAAACGAAGCAGCCGAGGGATGGACAATGGACGGCAGACGTGTCGTGTCCTAATAGCTTTTCTCCTCTGCTTCTAAGTGAGTACTCGTTTTACTCGTGCTCAAAGGAGCGATGGGCTTACCTAGTCATTGTCAGTGCTCATTATTTAAGTTGTGAGAGGAGACTTAGAGATCGTAGCTGTAATAGCTAAGAAGTTCACAGACAGTAATCTGGCCGCTCTACGTACCTTCATATTTTTTCTTTTTCATGTTGGACTCGGATATCACATACTCTACCATACAGTCAAACGGTTTGGACTGTAGAACACTTTTTAAATAAGAATAAGAATGATATGTACATGTGATGGAGGTATATCATACCAGGTTTGCCGCCTTGGCCCGTACTTTTCCGGCGGTACCAGCATGAACCGAACCCTTTACGACGAAAGGAGACCGGCGTGTACGACTCAGGAAGTCATTTAACACTGACGGATGGAAGCAAAATCATCTTTATGCGGTGAATCTGTGCGCTTTGTGTTCAATGCGAATTATCTGAAAGAATATAATATCGACGCTATGTCGTGGCCATGGATGAAGGTCTTGAAGTAGGAAAGCTTGGATTCATGGGCTTGCGTCCGGCGAGCCCCAGTGTGCCGTGCTGTGTAATGACAATGATGATGATAAGAATGAGGATCTCGCAGCACCAGAAGACGCAGCAATTGAAAATTGACAGTCGCTAGTAAAGCATGAGTGCGAGTTTCTCGGTACGTAAGCTCTGATCCTCTTTAGTGCCCGTGCCCAGGCACAAGCCGTGATACGACGTGGAGTGGACATTGCTTAGAAAGCTACAAATTTCTCCTTGCCACTTTGAGCCGTAATGACTTCGAAAAAAGACAGTTACTCAGCGGATGACCGGTGAGCCTTCGAAGGTAGGTACCTGACTTCATGTTTTTGGGCAGTGTGAGCTCTCGCCTCCCAATTTAAATGAATGCCACATGCGTCTTGTTGGGATTTTGCTGGAAAGTTCTAGAAAGGCAATACGGCATCATGCCGAGAGCTGATGAGTAAGCTCGAGAGAAAGAGAAAGTTGTAGTAAATTCTAGATACAAGCCTGGAGAGTATAAATACAAGCTCTGTAGGAGCTGTAGAATAACAAGTTCATACCATCTGGCCTTACCAGCCTGGAGTCTACCCTGCACAACACTGAGGATTTCCAACACATCTTTGCTATAAGACATCTAGCCTCTAATTGATCATCACTTTCATGCTGCACATAGTGTCACTCCTTGATTTTGTGTCTGTGAGCACAAATGCCCAGATACATCTCAAAAGGCATGTACCATCATGCCTGAATCATCCTCACCACTTTAACATAGAACTCTTATTTGAAACAACCCAAAGTGAGATGCTCCAGATTTGGTGCCAGTGAAGTTCCAGCACATTGCATTGTCATTTGAGTCAAACAAGAGACTGACCATACAATGTTCAATTGTCAGATGTTTGACCATGGTGAACAGACTGCCCAGAAGTTTGATAAAGTTTGCTAAACACTGAAAGCCAACCAATGAGTATTTACATTTATACACATTTGAGATATCACTTGCCAAGCATCCATGTGTCAATTGGGAATGCAGAACTGACCTTTTTTTTTTTTTTTCAAGTTTGTAGCTTGTAAGCCATGTCTATATGTTGATAGCCACAATCTAAGGTGGCATTCTTAGGTAATACATCATGACACATTTGATCACATGCTAATTCTGGCTTCTTCTATCCTTCATGTCACTCATGTCCCAAGGTGGCATCCTTACAGAGATTGTAGATACAATTATTGACAATGTTTATTATTTTTATTGTCCTGATGACAGTAATGATAGTGATCTTGCAGAACTCAAATATCAATGCCACTCCACTTTAACATCATGTTCTTTGGTTTGTGTGACATGGCTGCTGTGCAGTTGATATCATCTTTTCTGAACCATGACTGTATTCTTTGCTAATCATGCAACCTTTATGCACCTTATCATCAGTTCACACTGCTCTTTCCTTTGCTTCATTCATACCTTAGTTCTCAAAGATCTTGAAAGACTGAATGATGACAATGGTTACTCTAACACATCTGTCTTTGTTTTCAATTTAGTGAAACTTTTGCTCCTCAAGACTCCTTCAGTTGTCACACCTTCTATATTTCACAACATCAAGAGGCTGCATATAACCAATGCTCCATTCTCTCTCATTGCAGAGGAGAACTTCAATGTTTTTCTTCTTTTTCTATCCTGTTTCACTAGCATCACACACTTAGCTCTGAAATTATGCATTTTTCAAACCCTGGACCATATAATCTGCATTCTGTCATCATGCAGAATCTTGGAGTCTGTGTGTTTTGAATATAACCTGTGTGTGGAAAGCCTGCCTTTAGAAGAAATGACTCTATTCTATCTCCCTGGACTCTATACTTCTTTATCATCTTTGCTATTTATTATTGGCTATGAACTCAGCTTTATTCTACAAATCATTCCCATTGCTGGTCCATCACTGAAGCATTTGAGTATGTCTTTGACTTCTCTCAATATACTGTCCAATCATATGTGTCATAATGATCTGGATTAAATTGCACTGATATTCATCATTTCCTTTGACTAAGTGCAGACATGCTCTCTCACAATGCAAACCTGAAGTACAACACAAATCTTAAATCTATTATATTCCAATTTGTTTCTATAAACAACATCTTTAATAATATAAGGAACTGCACTTGACACATCCTTGAAATACTTCAAAAAATCATATCTTCCTTATCAACAAAATAATCTTGACAGTCTGGATACTATTTGCAGTTGACTTTGATAATCTTGATTGGAAGTCTATCACTGAAGTTCTGAGTCAAGAGAACTACAGGAATCTCAAGAGATTCTCAGTTCTACAGATGAGTGCATATATGGTAGACAACTCAAAGGAACAGATCACTTAAAAGTTGAGGGTGCTGACAGACAAGAATCCATCAATTGAGATTGTGGTCTATTATGAGAGATGTAGTTGGTTTGTAGAAAGGTGCTTTGGATAGCAATTCAACTGTTGGATACTCATTAATAAGGTGGCATTATATCTGTTTTACTATTGTACAGTCTCTAAATTTTCTCCATTACATAGCAGAATGTCTTCACAAATATCATGCCTCCTGAAGTTTCCACTGGTGCAAATCCTACTACATCCAATGGCTTTATATTGTATCAAAGTTGCAGTATGTTTTGTGAAAAGACACTTATAGTATAATGGCTTTCTTGGTATGAGTTTGTATGATACAAATGGCTCCAAACATTTCTTGTTGGGGTATATAGGACTATAGTGTAATTATTGTAAAAAAGGAATGGATTTTATTGTATCATGTGACTACCTAATGATAAATGTCTAGTTCAATAGGCCTTTTCAGCTGCTTTAGTTGCAATTATTCATAATGTATAGTGGATCTGAAGAAATATTAAAGAGTGTCACAATGTAGAAAGAAAAGTGAGCTACAGAAGACACAGAGCAATCTATTACATAGCCACCACAAATTCTTCATTATCCACATCCATGTCATTTTGCTATTCCACCTTTTTGATATTATGAAGCCACATACAACTCAATAATTTTCCAATTTGTCTAGATTCTGCAAAGGTGTCAGAATCAGTGAGTTTCTTCTACTACTGCTGCAAAACTTCAAACTTCAGCTCACAGCAAGAAGACTCTTCTCAGCATGAAGATTGCCCTATACATGCATAATCTAACTATCAGACTCTTTAGTGCTGCATATGGAATCTATTCACTAACTCAGAGCCTACCTTCACCCTGAACTAACTGAATATTTATGCTTTGAAGAATATGTAAGAAGGTCTTATCTTCTAAAGTAAGAGACATTCACATAGTACCTCTCAGAATTTACTGAACTCTGAAATGGTAATTGCCTATGTAAATGATAAGTATTGCCACTGCATATATTTGACACCCTTCATTGGCACTGTCTCTGAGCTCACTATAATGCCTAGATGCAGCTTTAGTACAGTTGCATGTTACTATGAAGAACTTTGCAACTGTAAAGATCAATTGTGCTGTCCAAACTCCTGACTGAGATTGTCATTTATTTCAAAGGGTTGCTTAAGTGAGTTTTCTGGTTATTTTCTGCTCTTTCATATGCCTGACAAGTCAAATCATTTTATAGTTGTTTGTCTCTATCTGATTCTCCTAGAACCAATTCTCACATTACATTACTGTCTAACTTTCTGATTCCATGAAGTTTAATGCAAGACTCAATGTGTTCATATTCTCTGTATCAAGCATGATCATAGGTATGGTACCAGCCATGGATTGGCATGTGCAAAAATACCATCTCTTTGAGCAGGAATCATCACTATAGCTTTTTGTTTCACTATATGACACTCTCTATGCTCATCTATCAGTAAGTATAATAGATTATATAGTTTCATCTTCCATTCATTTTTGGTCTCAGAAATAGGAAATACAGTGATAGCCACTGTAACTGATAAGCCAAAGGCTAACCAACCCTTTTTCCTTGATAGCACTTTATGAGTCATTGAGCTGACTGCTATAATAGACTTGTACTCATGAAAGGCATGGTAGACCTATAGTCTGAAGGTCAGAGAATCTCTTGTATCTAGTCTTCTCAATGCAAAGTGCATGTTCATCGGTGATTGAAACCTAAGAGGTGTCAGGCAATATACATGAGTCTTTAAGCACCTGCTTTCAGCTTTGTGTTCATCACATTCTAGTTTGAAACAGATCTTGATCTGCTCTGTCTGACTCTTTGGTAATTATTTCTCATGCAGGCACCTGTAACATCTACTTCCTACAGTCATATTACTCTCATAGCACATTCAAGTTCTTGGTATGGCTCAAACCACACACACTCACTGGAGGATGGCTTCAGGGCACTTATTCATTGTGGATTAATACTGCTATAGTATGCTGTGCCTATCAAGCTGTCTGTTATCATAATAGGATGAGCTCTTTTTGTTGATTTTCAATTTTAGATTTGAATCCCTTGTTTCTCATCTAATCAGCCTGTCTTCTCTATTTCACTTTCTGTATACTCTAATACTGTGACTTCTCATCAATCCTGGCTCTTTCCAGGGCTATTGTATTTTTTTCACCAGTTAACTGTCTATTTCACTTGATGCAGTTGTTGACATGTCATCAGATAGAATGAACCAGTTCTATAGTTTCTGTTTATTCTGTTTGATTCTTTTTATTAACAACTGAGCTCTGTTTCTCTATATAGCCAATTACCATCTTGTTTTATCACACTGAAATTGTTTATACTCATCTTAAGAAATATTTATTTGATACATGTCTTGATCTGTTAAGATCTGATTGGCTGCTATAGCTGTATGCTGTTTTCAGTGGCTTTATCAATTGTTTCAGTCTATGTTCTGAGCTGGTATTCTGATAGTCCTTCTTTTCTATGAAGTCTATATTACAATGCCTGTTGGTCTTCACATGGGCTCTTCTTATTGGAGGAACACAGTTTCAAATAAGAAACTCTGGATGGAGATTGCATATTATACTCTGAAGATATATTTGTCTCTATGATATAGGGTTTTTTGCTTATTTTGCTTTCTTCACTTTATAGAGAAAGAGATCAGTGTTAGTGTTATGATTTTTCCACATTTTCTCTTTCTTTTCTTTGCATTAACTCCTATTTATGCTTAGTTAGAGTGCCTAAATCAGCACTTAGAACTGTGAGACAGGCTTAGTCATCACAACAAGCTGATCCATCATTGTTCTCTGATGTAATGACAAACCCTTGATGATGCACAATGACCTTTTGTAGGTAGTAATGA